ATTAATTAAAATTATTTACATGATAATAATATTAAAATAAAAATTAATTTTTATTATTTTTATATAAATTAATAATAAAAAATGTATTTATTGCATCTTATGTCCTGCACAGGTTAGACAAACCCAAATGGTATCAGCTACCTTCTGTTTGTGTTAATTAAAGACCTGTAATTGTAGAGATTTTCTTTGGCATGCTTTGGTTGATGTTTGTGCTTGCAGCTCTCAAGTTTTTTATGAGTTGTTATTTCTGATGTAAAACGTTTCGATATATGGGTAGAAGTATATATCTTTTATACTCTAAACTTATACATTTTTTAATACATTAAATATATATATCTAAATAATCTCACAAATATTTTTAAACTTTTTTCTTAAATTCACTTTAAAAACACTTTTATCTCTAATGTAAATTAGATCTGGACTCGTGCGCGAAGGAGGCCTATGTTGTTGTGATTTGTGCAGTACTGAACTAAATGGGGCTTGGCGTTTGGACCCATTGGTGCATGTAAAAAATTTAGGGACTAAATCCGTAAGATTGTGAAAAATTAAAACATTTTAATAATTAAGATGTTAAAAATGATAATAAAAAACATTTTTTTTAATCTGCATGTGCCCTAAATTTGTATCATTTTAACAATAAAAGACATATGTTAAGGGTATATTTGTATCATAAATTTGTATAAAAAATATGAAAATTAACATTTATTTTAGTATTGTTATCATATTGATATATTTAATTAAATAATTGATAATTGATGTAAATTTTTATTTTTCAATATAAATTTATGACAAAAATTGTACTAATTACATTTTTAAAACACAAGTGAAAAAAATCTATAAAAAAAAGATTTGTCTAAAGAGTTTAGATTAAGGATACAAAAAATACACTATTTTATAATTAATTTACATAAAAAAAAGTTAACTTTCATTTTAACACTATTGTTACATAAATAATTTTAATAATTAATTGATTAAATTCAAGTTAAAATTTATAGTTTTCATATAAATTTATTACAAAAATATTATTACGTGAGAGGCATTTGTAAAGATGGTCAATTTTAAGTTAAAATAGAGGTACGTATGGGCTTTCGTTTTCTTTGTGGTTGCCTGATCGATCTGGTACCTGAGAAATTCCATTCTTCACAACTTGCTTGTTGGGATGGGGCCTTTTTTGTTTTTTTGGAGACAATTGGGCTGAGGACTTAGTTTTTGAATTGATATTCAGAAGATCCTAGGCATGGTTACGAGCAGGGTTGAAAAGTAGTGTTTTAGCTTTTAATAAATGGTCCAAACTGCCTTCCGTTTTAGAAAACAAAATAACCTTTTTTTTTTTTTGATGCAGAAAACAACATAATCTTAAGTAAGCAGTATAAACAACATAATCTTAACTCAACCCTCTTTCTTTCCCTCTCTTTTCTCTTCCCCTCTCTTTTCTCTTCTTTTATCTTTTAAAAATGAGTTTGATTTTATAACAATTTTTAGCTTTTAGTTTGATTTTATCTTTTTAAAAATGAGTTTGATTTTAAAAATCTAAGGGATTAAAAATAGAAGAGAGGAGAGAGTTTTGGCTCCTTCCATCTCCCTCTCCTTCATTAAAATTATTTATTCAAAAAATTGAAGGTGCTCTCTTCTCCTCACTCTTCTCTCCTTTCCTTCCAACTTTTCCAATCCAAATAGAGTGTAAAAGCTCTTCTTGTTTCTTTTTCTCTTCATTGAAATGCTTACTACTTAGTGTTGGAAATTTTGAGCGCCACAATTCCACGCGAATGGAAACGATAAAGAAATTGAGACAACAATTTAACATGGTTCGACTTGTACACTTCTTAACAAGTCTATACCCACAGGAAAGAGAAATAAATTCATTATTAAGAAAAAGAGTACAATAATTTAAAAGCTCTATCATTCTCGCTTGCTCTCACTCTTGCTTGCTCATTGCCTTTGCATGCATGGGTATTTATAGTGAAAAATCCAACCATCCATGCACCATTTTTCTTTGCCCATTAAAGGGGTCAACATGCAATCTTGCATGATTTCAATAAAGCAAATGCTAGCCCACAACTAGCTAGGTTGGTGAAGAAATTTCACCAATGGAAAGTCCATGTGTTCACATGGGGTTGGACTTTCTACCAACAATCTCCCCCTCCAACCCCATGGGAGGAGAAACCAACCATGACTCCATACACTTCAACATTCCATAATTTTGCTCCCCCTGCTCAAGAACACTTCATCATGGTGTCGTATGTTTGAGAGTTTCCTCCTAGTATAGGATATGACAAACCTACACTATATGCATTGTAGAAATTAATTTTGAACCAAGATATGATTCGAAAAAGAATCACATCTCCTCGAACCATCATCAAACACCACTTCATTGTTGAAGCTCACCTTCTTCTTGGTCTTATTAATTTCCTTGCCATCTACCAAGATCCCTTTAGGCTTCCGCACCATCTTTCTCATGGTCTTGTTAAGCCCTCTCTCGGGATGTTGCTAAAGCACATAAATGTTGTGCTTGTTCTTCCTTCCATGTAGAACAAGTCTTCCACCTTTGTAGACCTTGCACCATTCTCGCTTTCCAACACCCTTGTACCCTCTTGTTGTCAATTCACTCAAAGTAATAATATTGCTTGAACACTTGGGCACATATCTCACATTCTCGAGAATCTTGGCTCTCCCATTGTGAACATTGAGACGAACATCTCTTATGTTTTCAATATTCACCTTCTCACTGGTAGCCATCGTTATTTTGCCAAGCTCCCCTCGAACCAAACTCACAAATTTCGAAGGATTATTGCACACATGTATGGTTGTAGCAGAGTCCAAAATCCACCTCCGATTGTTTTTCTCCACCGTAGGATCACATTCTTCACAAGCTAATACCTCAACCACATTTTCTTCAACAATATTAGCCTCCCCCTTGCCCTTGGTTTCTTGACTTTTCATCAATATTTTCATATTAGAAAAGTCCTCCTTAAACTTTGGGCATTGTATTATTTGTGACCCAACTCACCACAATAGAAACACTGCACTTCACCATAATCCTTCTTAGGTCTAGATTTCGACCTTTCTCATGTCCATTGGATCTCCCTCGAGATTGCTCCATCACCAAAGCATTATTTTGTTTGGCACCATCATCCTCCCAGAGAAATTTATCATTCTCCAACAACATGGTTATGACATCTTTCATCACCAAAGTAGTCTTACCCACCAGCATACTCTGCACTACGGACTTGTAAGACTTCGGCAATGATGCAAGTAAAAGCAAAGTTTTTTCCTCTTCTTTTAGAATATGTTTGGCATTCACTACTTACGTCACCATCATGTTGAAATTAGATAAGTGATTGTGAATGTTAATGCCTTCTGCCATCTTCAATTGATACAGCTCCATCTTTAAACACAGTTGATTGGTTAAAGATTTTGAAGCATATATCTCTTCTAGCTTCTTCCACATGCCTATTGGAGTAGTCTCTGAAAGGATGTTGTATTTCCCCTCCGATGCAAGTGCCAGCCGAATTTGACTTGCTGCCTTCTTTTGGATAGAACTCCAATCACTATCCTTCACCTTAGCCAACTTGGTCTCTTCTAAAGCTGCATCAAGTCCTTAACAAGTAAGGACATCCTTCACAGTGCTTTGCCATAGAGCAAAGTCATCCTTGCCATCGAACAACTTAGTTGAATGCTTCATGGCTTCACTTTGCATTTCACCACAATACCAAGAGCTCTACCAATAGCTCTAATATCATTTTTGGGAATTTTGAGCACCACAATCTCACGCAAATGGAAGCGATAAAGAAATTGAGACAACAATTTAGCGTGGTTCGACTTGTACACCTTTCAACAAGTCTACATCCACGTAAAAGAGAGAAATAAATCCACTGTTAAGAAAAATAGTACAATAATTTATAAGCTCTCGCACTTTTGTTTGCCCATTGCCATTGCATGCATGGGTATTTATAGTGAAAAATCCAACCACCCATGCACCATTTTTATTTGCCCATTAAATTGGTCAACATGCAATCTTGCATGATTTCAATAAAAAAAATACTAGCCCACAACTAGTTAGGTTGGTGAAGAAATTTCACCAAATGAAAAGTTCATGTGTTCATATGGGGTTAGACTTTCTACCAACACTTAGAACTGCAATCGAGCGCAGAGCAGGAGATGGGTTTTCTTTACGTAACCCATTATTCTTCTTGATTTTGTTTATTTATACGGAATTATCATCTCTCTTACTCGATTCGATTGCACTGGGAAATGTTTCCGGTGTTGTAAATCATTTAAATTTGTAATAATGCTATTGCAGCCGAAGCCCGTCATGCCTACAGAAGGCCGAGCGGACGTGGCAGTGCCACGTCCATTTGATTCCTGGTTTTGAGAAAGGGCGTAACTAAAAGGACCTAAAGTTTATAGGACTATATATAACTTTTAAATGCTCACATTTAAAAAACATCATTTTAAGTACTTTAAATCAAATAAGATTATTTTAATTTAAGGCATTAGGATTTAGTAATTGTAATGTTAGGTATTAGATTATATTTTAGGGTTCAAGGTTTAAGGTGCTAGCTAAAATTTAAATTTTTTAGGATTTTTAAAATTTAATGTTTAGAACGTTAGTTAAGATTTAAATTTTTTAGAGTTCAATATTCTAGGTGTTAGAGTTCAGTTTTTCCTTAGATTAAATGTTTAGGGTGTTAGGGTTTAAATTTTTTGCGTTCTATATTTTGTGATATTAAAATTTAGATTTTTTTTGTTATCTATTTTACAATATTAAAATTTAGATTTTTTTAAATTTAGTATTTAGTCTGTTAGGGTTTATATTTTCAAGATTTAAGGTTTAATATTTAAAAGTTTAAATGTTTAATAATTTAAAAATTAAAATTATAAGACCAAAAATTAAATTTTATAATTTTAGATTTAAGAAGCAAAAATTAAAAAAAAAAAAAAAAAACTATAGGGAGCAATCGGCTTTGGAACCAATCGGTCCCTATAGCATTACCCTTAAATTTGCTATCAATTTATACCTAAACTAATTATATGTACAATGATGGTGCTG